AGGATGAGACATTTTRTTTATGTTTCTTTCTWGTTCCTGTCATTTTATTTATGGAACATATTTGCCTTTTATAACCTTTGTTGATGGTTTCATTAATGCAATTCAAGTGCCAATAGCCATCTATTAGATATGCATTTCCAAAGCAAACATCATCTAAATAAAATGTCATACAATCTTTATCAGCATAGAAGGAAACATTATTTTTATTTACAAGCTGGGAACCTGACACCAGGTTCCTTTTTATTTTAGGTATATAATATACATCACTTAATGTTAAAACATAATTGTTTTTGAATAGCAATCTACATTCACCAATATCTTCTACATTCACAACTTGTCCATTTGCTGTACACGCCCTTGATTCATTCAGCCTTGGGGTTGTTATCTTTGACAATCCCTGCATGGAGTTGACAATATGAATAGGTGAAGCTGTGTCAAACCACCATGAATGATCATTTTTACATGTAGTGGTCTCTAAAGAAAAGAAGTGATTTATGTTACCTTTCTTATTCAACCATTCCTTGAATCCATCACAATCTTTCTTGAARTGGCCTGCCTTCTTGCAAAAGAAGCATTTCAGTTCCTTTTTCTTCTTAAATGGTTTTCCTTTATTCTTACTACTCTGAACAGAAGGAGTAGATGAACTTCCCTTTTGGAAACCAMAATGTTTCTTCATCTTAAWCTTAGCCTTAGACATRTGGTTGATGGTTAYTGCWTTTCCTTTATTCTTCACTTCTGATTCTTCTTGAACACAAATAGTGATCAGCTCATCTAGAGTCCACTTTTCTTTCTGTGTGTTGTACAGGCTTCTTAAATGACTATATTGGTCAGGCAGAGAATTCAGGAGAAGGTGTACTAGAAATGAGTCATCAATGGAAATTTTCATTTCCTTAAGTTTACAAGAAGTATCAATTCCTTGCAAGATGTATTCTCTTATACTTCCTTGTCCATTGAAACTCATTCTAATCAGCTTATTCATGAGGTAACCTGTTTCTGCTTTATCAGAAACTTTGTACTTATCAACTATTGAGGCTAAGTATACCTTAGCAAGGTCTGATTCTGGTATACCTCCTTTGACAGCATCAGTTATACATTTCTTCATATAAATCAGGGTCATTCTATTATGCTTATGCCACTTTTGATGTTTAAGTTTGATCTCCTTAGGTGCATTATCTGCTGGTTCTGGTGGTGGATCTTCSTTAAGGACATGATCATAGTCTAGAATCCCTAAYATAAGTTCAATGTCCTCCTTCCATTTCTTATAGTTTACACCATTTAGAGGTGCAAAATTAACKACACTYATAGGATAGTGGGCTGTATGGGACAGAAATTGTTGTCTATCTGTCTTGCTTGGTGATCCTGATCACAAAACAGGTCMTTTCAATCAGTCATGTTTAACTTATAAAATGATCAACTATGAAAGATTAACATACTTTGATCATAAATGAAGATATGAACTTCGAATTTGATTCCCTTTTGAGAAAGCATATCATATTCGAAGATTTTGATATAAATAAGTGTCTGTTTCAATCAAACTGCTATGGCAGTATGTGAAAGAAAACAGTCACTATTGAATCTGCAATTTTTATACAATTTGCAGTCCTCTTGTTGTGATTCAAGACTATTATGATAGTACTTTGAATCACAGTAATCCAGAATCACTTGGGTGATATGTGGATTCTTGGTGTAATCTTAATCTAAAGTATTTGTATAATCAATACGTAAAAGAATTATCTACTGCCTAAATCAGAACATTCATGCTTCTACATACAGAATCTAAAACAAGCCAGAGAGTAATTTAAACAAGATTGTTAAATAATACGACTATACAGAAAATTCCTTGATGAAACATGAATTCAATTAAGCCACAGTATGAACTGGTCAAAACAGAGGCCAATCAATTTTGACTTAATCTGGATATAAATCGATTTGGTTTAATCATAACAGAAATCGTTTTGCTTTAATCGAGTCATGAAATCAATCGTATACAAAATCGATTTTTAGTTGGTCGATATAGAAATCGTAACARAGATCGTTTTTGCTCTTAATCGAGTTATGAAATCGATTTTACTATCATGTACAAAATCGATTTTGGTTAGTCAATATAGAAATTGATTTCTTATGCAATCGATTTTGGTTTTGATCGGCTGTTACTTTGGTATGTGTATGTGCCGCTACTTCTTCGACTTGTTCAAATCGAGTACCCCTCGATTTTGATTTTCGAACAGTGGCTTGTGCGATTCATGTTACACGATTCAATTAGATGGGTTAATTGGCTCTGATACCAAATGTTAGACTTAATCTTACTTCACGAATACCATTAACACATCAGAATTGAATCAATTCATATAAAGAGATTTAGGGCTTGAATTGTGTACCTTNTGAATCAATTCATATAAAGAGATTTAGGGCTTGAATTGTGTACCTTGTGCGATTGACGAAGATGGGTTTTGATTGTTTGATTGATCACCCATTCTCTCTCAAGATCCACTCTTAATTCCTTACCATTTGATGGCCTTTGGTAACTGATAAGATTCTGCGTGTTCTTGATAGAGACAGATGCAAAATGGCGCCAAAAAAGTTTTATATGGGGCTGAAGGGATTGTTCTCACCATCAAAGAACCATATAACTGTCAATAAACCAACTGATATATATATGACAGAAAAGAAGAGTCTGATGGTACGCATACATATATATACCTGATGCTTATATATAAAGCATAATTGTTATTATGCAATTAATCTTGTTCTCAAGGTGAGCATATATACATATATGTTTCTATATATGCTACAAGAAAAGGATACTAAAGATCTTGAAACCATAAAGGACATTTTTTATCCTTGGATGAGTCTCATAACAGCGAAGTAAGAACATGATACGAACAAAAGCATGTGGTTCAAGGTAAATGCGATATACTTGTAAATACTAACCATGGACCAAGAAAGATCACTGATGTGTAGTATGTGCCAGCACTTAAACATAATCTATCAAGTGTTGGGCAACTAGTACAAAAGAATTATGATGTACACTTTATGATAAAGTTTGCATTATAAGAGATCCTACTAGTACCACTCGTGGAAAGATTAAAATAACAAGTTGTTTCTGCTGAAGTTTAATAAAGATGGTTTATCAGCCTTTAGTATAGTGAATACAAACAAATCAAATCTTTGACATTTAAGATTTGGACAGTTGAGTCTAAACACGCTAATGTATATGAGTAAGGCTCATATGGTTTGAGATTACCTACTTTGGAGAACTCAAACAAGATCTGTGATGCATGTGCTCTAGGCAATCACACAAGAAGCCGGTTTTCTAAGGATAAAGCTTGTAATGCATCAAACTTACTTGAATTGGTCCATACTAATGTTTATGGACCTGTGAGGACGGTATCCACTGGAGGCAGCAGTTACGTGTTAACATTCATAGATGATCTAAGTAGGAAAATGTGGTCCTACTTCTTGAAAGAAAAATCTCAAGTATTTGAAACTATTAAATCTTTCAAGTCTATGGTTGAGAACCAAAGTGCTTCCAAAATAAAGAGCATTTGATTAGATAATGGTGGTGAGTTCACATCACATCAGTTTGAATTTTCTTTTAAGAGATAATGGCATTAAACACCAGAAAACTACTCGACGTACACCACAGCAAAACGGTTGTGCCGAGAGAAAGAATAAGACCTTCATGGAGCTTGCTAGAAGTATGCTAAAACATAAAGGATTACCCAATATATTATTTGCAGAAGTAGTGTCTAGTGCCATTTACATTTTGAATCATGCAACAACATGAAGTGTGAAAGGAATGACGTCTCAAGAGGCCTGGAGCAGTTCTAAGCCATGTATAACATAAAAGATTACCCAACCAATCGTTCTTAATTGGTACCATCTTTTTTCGGTTGGCACATGTAAGTACTAGTTTTGAACTTCAAATTATGTATATGAAAAGTTGCACTTTCATTCAAATTTCGAGTCATATTTTGAGTTAGTAGATAACACATGTCATGTTTAAGTGTTTTTAGTTGCATGGAATAAAATTTTCAAACATTCAAATTTCCCAAACAAGCTAAAGTTATGATATCTAATATTGAATACATCAAAAATACAAAAACTAATAAATAATTAAATAAGTTAGTATCATTGTACGACCATGATACTGATTTCCATTACCGTTATACCAACCAAAGTTTCATATGTGATACGATACTACCAAACGACTATAATTGATACTGATTAAATTCATACCATTTTAATTGATACGGTTGGTACAGTTGTTCGTTGGTTTGATCTGATACGAAATTGTAATCCTTAGAAAACATGTGGATTGCAATTTTTAGTTTTTTTATTCCAACTTTACCCTAATATATTCGATTAATTCATAACCCTAAATTCAATCTTCATTTAATTTGCTGAATTGAGTTGTTGATCATAAAGCTTGGACAACCTAGATCAGTTCCATAAGTCCCAAAAAATACTTGTGATTCTTATTTAAATGTTTTCTTTATATATGTGTGTGTCTATATTGTATTTTTATGTGGAAATTGAATTGTATTTTGTGATAACAGGGTATTGGTTATATATTTGAGGTATTTAATTATTTGAATATGCGATTAATGTTATAATCCATGATGTGGATATATGCACATATATATATATGTGATTATGTGAAAATAAGTATATATGCATGCATGAGAATGCGAAAGTGTGATTACACATATATGTGAAGGTGCAAATTTATGCATATGTATATGCATGCATGAGTTATGTGAATATGCATGCATGAGTTATGTGAATATGCATGCATGTGTGTGTGGTGCAAATTTATCTTTCGCTATGCGAAATTGTGTAGCCAACGAGTAGCTCTGTTCTGGTCCTAACGAGTTGGGCTTTGACATCTTATAAGCTTATGTATATGCATGCATGAGTTATGTGAATATGCTTCCAATGTTGTGGCTATTGGATGCTATTCATCAAGCGCCACTTATGTAGGGGGATTTAGCATTATCATGGATTATAAGGATTCTCCTTATACCTTGTCGGATGTGAATAAGTTCATCGTCATCGGCTGTGATGATTCTGCTTGGCTGATTTCACAAACGAATTCTAGGAATGTGTCTACCGGTTGTATGGTCTTTTGTTCAACACCTGAGGATGTTGTAGGTGACCAATGTTCAGGAAATGGTTGTTGTCAATCGTCCATACCCAAAGACATAAACTACTATGAAACTGACCTCAATTCCCTCGTGGATTCAAAGAACACGATGTCCTTTAACCCTTGTACATATGCGTTTGTTGGTGAGGAGAACGCATACACGTTCAATGGTCTAACATCTTTGAATGACACTGATTTGGCTGAAAAGATTGAAGCTAGTGTCCCAATAGTGCTTGAATGGGCTATTGGTAATCTGAGTTGCATTGAAGCCAAAGCAATGGATGGTTTCGCGTGCCAGTATTCAAATAGTAAGTGTGTTAATTCTACAAGGGAAACGGTGGGTATCGTTGCATCTGCGATGAAGGCTATGAAGGAAATCCCTATCTATCTATATGAAGGGAAAGCGGTGTGTTAATTCGCGTGCCAGTATTCAAATAGTAAGTGTGTTAATTCTACAAGGGAAACGGTGGGTATCGTTGCATCTGCGATGAAGGCTATGAAGGAAATCCCTATCTATCTATATGAAGGGAAAGCGGTGTGTTAATTCGCGTGCCAGTATTCAAATGTACAGGTATATGACTTACGTTCTTTTGTGATTGTTGTCACTAATTATTATTTATATTTCTGCACAAGATTTCCTTCAACTTCAATGGGTTTGATATATATTTTAGAAATTTATCACATCCAAATTTTCACCAAATGGGTTTTTTAATTTAATATATATTCTTTAATATATCTTTTACTGTTTATAATTAAGCCTTTTTTAATTACAAAGAACTCTGATTTATATAATTTGTCTTAATAATTTGTTGAAATTTCCTTTATATTTAGACATCAATGAGTGTCGTTATCCAGAGATGTTTAATATTGTGGGGAGTTACACATGCAAATGTAAAGGAGGGTATTCTGGTGATGCCAAAATTCGAGATGGTTGTCGAGGACATAAGCCATTCCTATTGGTTGTCCTGTTATCTATAGGTAATTCCTAGCTACTTTTCTTCTCACTAGAGGTTGGTATCTTCCATTTATCCTCTCTTCAAAGAATTGTCATTATTTTAGCTATCAGAATAACTTTTGTCATGTAGAGAAGAAATTTACACCACCGGTTAATACTTGTGCAGGTGCTCTTTTGGGCATATTGGTATTAATCTTCTCATTGTGGCTACTCAAAGTAGTGCAAAGGAGGAAACTTAAGAATCTCAAAGAGAAATTCTTCAAAAGAAATGGTGGTTTACTCCTACAACAACAAATGTCTAGTGGTGAACGGATGGTTGATCATCAAATCAATGCAACAGAATTAGAGAAAGCAACTGGCCAATTCAATGAGGACAGAATAGTCGGCCGAGGGGGTCAAGGGATAGTTTTCAAAAGAATGCTGGCAGATGGAAGGATAGTAGCAGTAAAGAAGTCGATGTTGGTGGATGAGAGTCAAGTTGAAACATTTATCAGTGAGGTTTTTATACTATCCCAGATCATCCACAAACATGTGGTTAAGCTTCTGGGGTGTTGTTTGGAAACCGAAGTTCCAATGCTAGTTTATGAGTTTGTTGGTAATGGAACTCTTTTTGACTTCATCCACGACGAGAATTATGAGTTCCCTACCTTGTGGAAATTGCGGTTGCAAATTTCTATAGAGATAGCAGGAGCTCTTGCTTATTTACATTCGACAACTTTCGCACCGATTTATCATAGAGACATTAAATCTTCAAACATTCTTTTGGATGACAAATTTAGAGCAAAAATATCAGACTTTGGAATTTCAAAGTCATTATCAGGTGATCAAACCCATCTAAGCTCCTTAGTCAAAGGTACCATGGGTTATTTAGATCCAGAGTACTTCCAATCAAGCCATCTTACTGAAAAAAGTGATGTATATAGTTTTGGTGTTGTTCTCCTTGACCTCTTGACCGGGAAAATCCCCATCTTCAGAACACCTTATGGGGAGAGAATGAGTTTGGCAACCTTCATTTTGTCAATGGAAGATGAACAACTTGTGGAAAACGTTGATGATCGAGTATTAGATGCACCCAAGGAACAACTCATAGCAGTTGTAAACATTGCAAAAAGATGCTTAAATTTGAAGGGGGTGCTACGGCCAAATATGAAAGATGTTGCAACAGATTTGGAAGGTATAAGATTGGTAAATTAATAGTATCACTACAAGAAAAATAACCTTTAGAGAAGATTCTGTTTTGTACTTAAAATTCTTAAAAGCTTCTCTAAAGGCTTTTGAGAAGCTTTTCATTTCCGTCAACAAGCTTCTCTATGTAAAGGTAGGTAAAGGTTTTAGGGACGGTTTTCGGAGGGTATGTTTTTGGTAGCTTTTAGAGACACTTTTTTAGGGTTTTAGATACACTTCAAAACTTCTCTAAAGGTTAGTTAACTTTTTTATAAAAGCTTCTCTAAATGTATTTATTAGTGACAATTTTCAAGTATTAATGACGATTTATAAACGTCTCTAAAAGGTGCTTTCAGAAAAGGTTTACAAAAAAGCTTCTCTAAAGATATTGGCTTTAGTGACATTTTACCTAAACTTTCTCTAAAGGTGTCCTTTAGTTACACTCTGCAAACCTTCTCAAAAGATTATCTTTAGATACAAATAATCAAAACTTTTTCTAAATCTTATCTCTAGATACGTTTTTAAAAGATCAACTCCTTCTCTAAAGGGCATATTATTATTTGTATCCATATTTAAGATCTATATTTGTATATAATTATACATTATATTAATCAACAAAAACAACATAAAAATCTCAAAGCAATAAATTGATATAAATTTGTAATATAAAAAAAAATAAGTTCTCAAAACATTCCCCAACAGTCAATCAATCTATAAATCCATTTTCTAACATCCTCCCTAAACTCCTCACAAAACATGATACTCTATCTATCACCTGCCATCTCTTTTCTAACTTTTTTATAGTCTATCCGAGTAGAACCACGTTTGTTACTTTGCACTATTGACGAAGCTTCGTCTGATTGCAAGGTGTCTGCAAAGGTGTTAGTCATAATGCAATAAATTCATGTGAACCGCTAACTGTGACAATTTCCCTCTTTATCTACAACAAGTCAATAAGCCATCAAAACATTTCATTAGCAAAATGAATATAACGCATTTTAGCCAGAAAAACTATTATCTCGTTATGGTGTATAATAAACTCTAGAATACATGTTAAAAATACCTGGTGGGAGTAATAACAAGTGCTCTCAGAAGACCTCTTGAGACAACTTGTTCATTTGCCTGTCTTTTTTTCTTTAACCTATCTCTCAAATTTAGCTCGTTCTTGAAATTTATCAAATTAAAGAGAACAAAATGCCCCTAAAATACTTGCAATTTAGAATGCTTATCACATAGTGTAGACTAATGTAAGTCCAAAAACTTTAAGAATTATAAGATAAAAAGATTTAAAGAATAATACTTTAATTTGTGTTATTTGAATTAGGAAAGAAGATGATAACACTGAAACTAATTAATCAACTAATAATATGTTTACAAGTATCTATGCTAGAAGTAGGACACCATTAAAATGTATGCTTTTCTCTAAGGGGCCGTTTATCAAATGCTTACTTGACTAAGTGCTTACCAGGTTAGATTACCTTACCAGATAAATATGGTAAGAACCAAAAATCCAACTTACCCGGTAAGTAAATAATAAAATTGAATTTTAGCGATAAGTGCTTACCGGGTAAGTGTTTGATAAACGGCCCCTAAGTTTTACAATACAATATAATGTACACAAAAACTTATTTCTAATTGAAAATCCATGTAAGAGCCTTAATAACAATCTTGCTTGCTTGACCATATTCTTACTACTAGTAGTTTGGCACGTTGATATTTTAGTCAAACTTGAAGTAAAGAATGGCGTCCCTTGTGAGAGACATATTTCATATAATGAGAAAACGTATCTGCAAAAAGTAAGCAGACTAAGAGAAGTTGGTTATATGGTTTTAATATCATAAGCATACAAGCTTCAAGTAGTAGATCATATATGAAGGTAGTGGGTTACRAGGAGGTTTAATTGGTCAACATATCTTAACAAACTACATGAATGAAAATGAGAAAGCGAAGCATGAATCATTTTATATATAAGCACAGGTCACCTAGAACTGGAATCACTRAGAATGAGTAGGAATCATACCTGATCAATAAACAATAACAGAGGGTCAAAAGAAAGATGGTACATAGAATACTTTTCGACTTTGAAAGCAWGTGTCATTTGTTTTACTAAATCCAAAATGTGTCTCCTTGATAATATTTCAATCCTTGGTTATCAATTCTTTAAAGCAAATGTAAATCAATTTTAGAGTTAGAATGTAATTTCTTCAACACTTGAAAGGTCTTGTAATTAAAATGCTCATAACTACTCAAGTGTMAGTTTAAAGATACTTACAGCTGTTTGAAAACYGGAGCTTCTACATGGCTGAGTTCAAGGCAAAGGAATATCCCTCCGTTTTTTAGTACCCTGATTCAAAGGTAAATTATCAACAGAGGAAGTATTTCAAGATTAATTTGTCGGGTATTTACAATAAATGTTGTTTTTGAACAACTGCTACTCATTTCAAACCTCTTCGTATTTTATCATAAACTTTCTAATTTGCAATTTATTTATCAAGTGTTTGTCGARCAGACAAGATACTTCTCCCTGAAACCATAAATGCAGACACCTTGCACACTAAGCYATTGTTYCACWAGTGCTAATTAGATTAGAGAACTTCAGCATCTTCTCAATGTCTAAAAACATGGACACTTCAAAGACCAGAAAACAACATAATAAATATGTCCTAGTGTTCATGACAAAGTATGTAATTAAATCTAAATCAACAGGAGAATGAGATAAAAACACATCTACAAAAAGATATGATAACAAATTCCAAACCAAACCCAATATTACCCACTCAAAGTCATGTTGGGGGGGGAAGTGGTTGTGACAAACAACTTAGACATGTTATATACATCAAGTCTAAAAGACTTGATGTATCATGTTCTTGCATAAAAATATCAATTTTACGAGTAGATGATGAGCCATAATCAAGGAGACATTAACAGGACAGAGTAGATGAGTTTATGTCTGGTGATCCTACAATGACTAACAGCATAACCAATCTCAGCAGCAATCAAATGATAATTCTTAGTTGTAAAGATCAAGGGAAGTAAACTAGTATCATTCCACATCAATAGAACAGAGTAGATGAGTTCACAAAGCCACGCCCAAAGCCTCTACCAGCGCCAAAGCCATAAAATTTTTGGCTGCAGGTTAAGAAGCCAACATAAATCCCCCACATGAAAACAAATAATCACAAGAAAGGAGGCTAAAACTCAGAGGGAGAGCTCACCGCTGCCAATCCAAGGCTGGTGTATCAATTAAGGCCTGAATTTTGTTGTCTTCATCCGCTTTACTAGGTGCAGGAGCATCCTGAAGTTGACGGCTAGATGTAATTGGCATAACTTCAGGAATTTCTTACAAGTCGTTTCCAAATTCATCGCAATCTGAACCATCAAGCTTCAAAACCACTGTTAGGTAGCATAGCATAATCATATTGATCAGAATTGATAAGCATCTCATCGTGGCATTATCTAGTGATTGAGGAAAAGATGGCCATAGTGATGTAGGGCACTAATCTCACCCATGTGTGGAAGTTCCAAGAGGAAACAATTCAGGATATATTTTACATGACGTGAAACAAAGTGGGTGTGGGGCATTTCTTATAGCTGGAGAAGATGCTATAGATGTATAATTTGGATAGCCTGGTAGGTATGGGTGTCATCACAATTCTTGAAAGTCCATCAAATATAGACATTCAAGATTGTGAAAAAAAYTGATTTCATTCTGTAATGCTTACTTAATTGCAACACTAAAACTAACATTACAGCCTACACATCATAAAGAAGATCTCTAAGAGCCTCCATATCCAAGTATCGTCCCTAGGTGCTGAGTGTGTAATCCTGATACATTACAAGCAAGTTCCTAAACCATTATAGCTAGACAAACCTTACATAGTTGGRAAAAGTTACTCTTTGYTGATTGCACACTCTCCAGCTCATTRACCACTGTTAAATCACAAACAACAACTCAACTAATGCCCTAGCACTCGACTCGCATAATGTTACCATCCAACATCCAGAAAACTTTTGCAGGTTTCAATGTCATGCTCACCCTAATAAAGTTCATTAGCAAGTCATGCCAATCAAGTCCAATTTGTAGAAAATCAAAATTTAAACCCATTATATGATAAATACTAAACTTGGCTAAACGTAAAAATCAAAGACTGCCTCCCCTGCTCTTCTCAAAAGCTTGGCTAAACGTCAGGTACCTAAAAACTAAACACCTCTCTTTTTTTCCGTTTCCCTCAAAATTTATAAAAAGATAGAGGTAATTGTAGTTTTTATTTTCTTCCCTCAAAACTAACCACCAAGCCTATAGATTCAAATCCAGCAGAGAGAAACTAAAAAATCAATTTAAGAAACAAATTCTAGATTCGGAACAGAATTGAACTAATAGAATTGTCAAATAAAAAAAGCTATAAAAAACAGAAGCCATTAAGAAGGAATTCCAACAAACCAAGGGTAAAGGAGTTGATGGTACCTTCTATGGTTGCCAAAAAATGATCAAAATAAGTTACCGCAAGGAAAGACACGAACACATCGACTTGATCAGACATGTACTATTCTGTCAGCAACAAATTAAGAAATCAATCGGATCAATATAATCTCATCGTCATTATAATTGAAGCATTGTTTTATAGATTTTAATTGCAGTACATTTTACCTTTTCCATATTTGAAATTGCTATCGATTTGATGTTGATGAACCAGATTAGGGCAGAAAACATACCTGATTTATGTATATAAACGAAACCAAATTGAGAAAAATCATGATGGAGAGACGACGAYGGGACCTCGGCTGAGAAATCGATGGAGGCGATAGCAAAATAGGGTGAGAATTTGACGAAGGCGAAGGAAAAGGCGAAATCGGTAGAGACATGACGAAGGCGACGGGGAGACTGAGAGAGAGAGAGAGAGAGAGAGAGAGAGAGAGAGATAGAGTCGAGAGATTGAAGCGATGGGTTATAAAAAAGTATTATTTTTTTAATAAAATTGATAAATAATTAAAACAAAGACTTTAGAGAAGGTTTTTATTTTTAAAAAGGTCTCTAAAGCCCCTCTCATATTTTTTAGAAGTTTTTTATAAAAAAAATTATCTAAAACTTTTAGAGACAATTTTGATAATGTATGATTTAACTTGAAATATTTCTCTAAAACTCATCCTACCTTTAGTTACGTTTTCCACTTTTGTCATTCATTTTTTCTCTATAATATATCTTTAGATACACTTTTAAAACCTTCTCTAAAAATTCCTTCTCTAAAGCCCTTTTTTCTTGTAGTGTATGCCACTGATCTAAAGTACTTTGCACAAGAGCATGTTCAAGAAAAGAAGACCATTTCTATCGATTCATATACGGTATGAAAGCTATTTTGATCACCATAAGCAGATCTTTATAATTAAAAGATGCAACAAAATTATGTACTAAATTATAATAAGCATTAATTTGTGTATCTAAATTATTATGTTAATGCTAGCAATTTCTATTACTTTCTCTCTCTAGGATTTTCAAATTTGAGTTTTCTATTACTTACGAAGATGACAAGTAATAGGAAACATTCTAACTATAAATACAAATATCAACACGTTTGGGATCACGAAAGAAATCAAATTTTATCTTCATCCCAAAATGCTACATATTCAATAAACAATACCAAAAAACCACCAATGGAAGAATTCATCAGTAAATAATATAAGCGATGGATTCTAAAATTTAGCAAAATGCATCACTGAACTTTCATTGGATTAGTGACGGAAACTAAGTTACTCGAAACAATTAAAGGTTGTACGGTAAAAAAAAAACTTGTAATGGTTCTTTGTTGAGATACGATAAACCACTTAAGCATGAGGATGTGTTCACTCCTAAAGCATGCAGCTCTAAAATGTACAACTTCAAATTATACAAGGAAAGGTACCTGACATGCTATACACGTAAAACCAAAACATACTCATTCCATTGTCGGTAAATCTTCATTATAACAAAATTGGCTTTATAGAAAACCAGTGGTGGATCCAGGATTTTTACCTAGTGGGGTACCTTTAAGGTATATTAAAGGGCCACAAAGTTTTCCGGTGTGTTTTTAGCTTAATTCCATCGTTTCAAGGAATTTTAAAGTTTTTTGTTTGATTTCGAGAGATATTTAAGTTTTTTTTGTCGATTTTGAGGGACATTTTTGGTTTTTGTTGTTGATTTTGAGATACTGTTTTGGTTTTTTATTTTGATTTCAAGGTAATTTTTTTGGTTGGTGGGGGCACAGAGCAAAAATTTACTGGGGACTATGGTAGAAAGTTAAAGAAAAAATTATTTTTAACCTAAGTAATTGAGAATTCTTTTTTTTTAATGGGCCCATCCCCCCACCATCTATATGCTACATCCGCCCCTGTAGAAAACCTAGAATGTTTAAACATTTTAATAGAATACTTTATATAAGACTTAAGTTTATATAGACGTTTTTGGGCATTTAAACAAGTTTTTAGGACACTTTAAAAATAAAGTGTCGTCTTAACTATTTTGTGAAATGTCCTATAAACTCATGCAATCAAGTAAACACAAGCTAATATCAAGAAATCTCACTAATAGGATTAACAAAACAACACTCAATTCACTTGTTAGGCTAAAGTGTATCGCTCAAAATATCACTGCACTAACATATACCTATCAAAAGCTTGAAACATCTCTCACCCTCCACGGAGCGAGTTTGACTGTTGAACAATTACAAATGTAAGCAACTAAACCTTACTAGTTCGAATTTAGATAGGCGAGACCACCAATGTTTTCTCAATATCTACAAATGATCTCCAACAACAAAATTGGTAAAACCCAATTTATCAAGCCATATGAGGATGCATATGAAGGTCCCATGTTGTATGCAAATTCCACATTCAACCTAAGGTTGCATTGCCAAGTCAATTAGCCACAAATGTGTGAGTATCATGGAAATTCAAATAATGAGGATTCATGATGGTTCAAGACTATCTTTGAAGACATCTAGTTTTCTTTCGTGTTTGACTAGCATTAAATCTAATGTTATGTAAAATGTATTAGATCTACGAAAGTAGTGTCCTCTATATGACCTTCAAAAGAAATGTCTTATATTTAAAAGCCTTTGTGGTCATGGAGGTTCACATGCGATGATTCCAGGCCATTCGTGGTGACCAGAGAATTAGTCGGTTCACATAGCCCGAAGACCCACGCTTACCCCAAAAAAGTATATGTATTTTTCTCCATTGGAACAACAAAATTTGTTATGTTGACATAATTCTTGTTTGAATAGTTTCATTCTAATTAATAAACTTGTCAAAGTACCTTTGTATTAGGATCTTTAATTGTAAATACTTATTTAATATTAATCGTCCAATTAAAACACTACTTATTGGACACGTTAATGTGTTATGTAATACCTTTTACATTACAAAATTAATCTCATAAAGACGGTACTTGCTAGGTTGGTAAGATTTAGCATGGTAACTTATTACAACACCTTAACATAATAAGACAAGCATGTCATAATTGACATAAGAGTAAGTGTCTCATTGAAGAATGAAACCAAATTTATTCTCTAGTGACTTGATGAAATATTCATACAATGATTCAAATAGTCATGTGTGTCATTGTCTTGAACAGACCAATGAGGCTGATTGAATTGAAGATTGTTGCAGAATATTTGGAGTTGACCATGTCTTCTACAAAAGAATCAACATCAGGTCAAAACACTGATAACTAACTCTCTACCCATCCACCCTTCACTTTTCTTCTATTTTTGTAAATTTTAAGATGGACTTAATTCCATATATTCATTATCTCATATAATTAAACTTTATATATTTTTAATTATGTTAAATTAATATTTTTACTCTTTTTTACTTAAAATTAATAATAAATTAACAATATAAATATTTAACATTAAATAATATGTACACAATATATCCGGTTTGCTTCGGCCCTTTGGGTAGCTAAAATTCAAAATCGAAACTGACCCGTAAATACCTGGAATTTAATCTAAAATTCAAAACCGAAACTGACTCGTAAATT